TTTTTTTCGAACAGGCAAGAAGATGAGAAAATTAAAAATTAAAGTTAAATATATTTTAATTTATTAGTTCTAGTTTTTTTTTTTTGAAGTTATTCACCAAAATATATGCCACGTCATTAAAAAAAAAGTCTACATTGGATTAAAAAGTATCCACGTTGGATTATTAATGGTATATAATGTCACGTTAATTTTTGAATGCCACGTAGTGTATTTTGTAACGGTACCGTGACGGCACGTTAAAATATTGGGTTTTTCACGGGTTTTGAAAAGTTGAAGGTGTGAATAGGGAGAAAAAATTTTGGAAGGTGTTGACCGTGAAAAACAATTAAGTGGAGGGTGCAAATAGTCCCTTTGGCCTATTTAATAAGCCATGTCAGTTGATGTCATCTTCCTATTAACGACATGCTTACTCAAACATTTTAAACACGGTGGAGGTTTTTTTGCTTGTGTGGATGCTGAACTAGCTCATTCTCACCCATTTTAATCCTATGTGGTGATTTTCCCCCCTTTCCATTACACGTCAACTAGGTCCCACCTAAAAAATTCCACAAAACCCTAAAAAAACCCAAATTTTATTTGTGTCTTCCCCTTTCCTTCCCTTTTCTCCTAAAATCATGGGTTAGGGTTTCTCTTTATCCTCTAAATCTGGGTTAGGTGAAGCTAATTCCCTGGCATCTTCCTTTAATTCTCAATCATTAGGACTTGAAGCTTCTTCTAGGGTGAGGGATTTTGGGTTGATTAAGCACACATACAAAAGGTGTCAGATGTTCTATGCGTGTGGATTCAGGGCATCGAGGTAGACTTCATGGAGACCATGGAGCATTGGTAGACGCTTTTATGGGTGTCCGAACTGCTTGAATGCTGTATGCATAATTTCTTTGTTATGGGTATGCAATTTTGTTTTATCTTATGATAAATACTTACACTTGGAAATATTTTTCATGTAGGATTTGAGAGGTGCATACTTTGTTTGGCATGACTTTGAATTGACAATTGAGAGACCTACTGAGATTTTAAAATTGTTGATTAATGAGAAAAAGTGTATGAGTAATGAAATTGCAGCTTTGAAAAGGCAATTGAAACAAAGAAATGTGGGTGGAACTGTACCTATGTTAAATGAGTCACCTATATTGGTTGAGTCAAGCCATGCCACGTCAAGTGCTAACTGTGGGAATTTGGCCAAAGAAATGGAATTGAGTTGGAGGAAATTATACAAAATGTCATGTCAAGAGCTGATGATGATGTGAAGAGAAGGTTGGATGCCTCTGTTTCATCCTCGGTCCATTCTGAAATTAAGAAATTAATCTGTGCTTGTATACTAGCTTTGGGGTTTGGGTTTGTATTGGTTATGTTCATTTGGTTCTTATTTTGAGGTCCTTGTTGTAAGGTATAGGGGAGCCATATTTTGTTTGTTTGTTGGGGGCATGGCATATTCTGCCTATTTTGTAAGAACATTTTAGCCATGTCTTTTTTGGTAGTAACCAAATGTAATTGACTTTTTGTAATGGACAATAGCTAAATCATAATCATGATGTTACCTTGAAACATGCCACTATATAAGCAAATTTGATTGAATATAATGCCATTGAAATAAAGCAAGACAAGACATAATAAAGCAAGGCATTATAACCACATGTACATCCCCAAAACAAGGCATAATAACCAATTATCAAATGTGATTACAAACCACCAACATAATACAAAAGTTCAAAGTACATCCCCAAAACAAGAAAATACAAAATGACATTGAGTCATGCTTTCTCTTTTCCCTTTACAGACGATTGCTTTGACTTCTTTCTTGAGTCATTTTTGCCTTCATTGATGATTACTCCTCCAACCTACATAATATACTAGTCATCAAACACTTGAAATTTACTTTGTGAAATAAATATTCAAGCTCAATAATTCTAGAAAAGAACTTACACAATCAATCTTTCTTTTGGCCCTTGTTTCCCTTTTAAGTGGTTCTTTGCCTTTAGCATCATTCACCCTTTTTTTTGGTGATTTTTTCAATTTGTTCTTGCACCTTTTTCCCTTTTCTTTTTCCTGTAGTAACCTTGGGTTTTTGGCTGGCCTTTTTCTTTTGATGCCTTCTATCAACTTGAAATTGCAGCATTAAAATTTAAAAGGACAAAAATTTACATGAGGTAATGTAATTAACATAAGCCTACATTGCTTTGACCGGTCCCTATTAACTCTTTTTTTATGGGACATCCAACTTTATTGTGTCCCTGTTGACCGCACAAGCTACAATTGATCACCAACCCATGCTTGGACAATCTATTGAATTTCTCCACCTTAACTTTCTTAGGCTCATGCTTATCTTTTCTTCTATTCCTCCTTGGTCGCCCTGGTAGTGTTCTCAACACTGGTGGTAAACAACCTCTTTTTGGTCTTCTCTTCAAGACCTCATTGCCTTTAAGGTACTTTAATGCAATCCCATAAGCTTGCAGGTACTTTTCCTTCTTATAGTTCTCATGAACAAAATCTTCATAATTCCAATTCATGTACCTAATAGATGACAAGACATGAGGGCAAAGGATTCTAGTTAAATTCTATTCTCTACATGAATAATTTTTTGCTATGAAATCAATGGCACATGTCAGATCAGAAGTAGTATCACACACAGCAAATGAAGGGTCCCCATTCCACTTGACATAGCATTGCATTGACCTCACAGTATTTTCGTTTATCTTTTTCATGACTCTAGGTGCAATATCATTCGACCATGTCTCTACAAACAATCTTTTTTCCTTGTATCTCTCCATTAACTGGTCAACTAAACTTCTAATCATAGAAATGATTGCCTTATACCTAACAGCCAAAATCCATGAATTGAATGTTTCACACATGTTGTTATCAACAACATCACACTTACAGTCTTCATCAAAGAATGCCTTGTACCAAAACCTTCCTAGCAAATCCATCATCTTAGCATAAGCTTCCTTAGACACTCCTCTCAACTCTTCCATTTTCTCCAGAAATTCAATTTGGTATAATGCCCTTGCAGCTATCCAAAAGGCATCATCCCCTCTATGCCTCTTTGTAAGATTGCAATATAAGTGTCTCACACAATATCTATGATTTAGAAGTGGCAAAACCTCTGCCTTTGCACAAATAATTCCCTACAAGATTAATTTAATAAATCAAGTTATTTAACAACATAACAAGTAAAATTTCAAGAATATACAAAATAATGAAAATATGTACTGGACACTTGTCAGATATCATTATACAACCATGCCCACTTCCAAGCTCCAAATTAGATGCAATCCTCTGCATAAACCATGTCCATGAATCATTGTTCTTAGGTTCGACTACAGCACATGCAATTGAGTACATCTAGTTATTTCCATCACGACCAACAGTAGATAGTAGTACATCCTTATAAATTCCCTTAAGAAAACAACCATCCACTCCAAAGATTCCTCTACAACCATTCTTCCATCCATCTTTGATAACTTTCAAACAGACATACGTTTTCATGAACATTCTCTCACTAGCATCATTTTCTTCAATTTTAATGAAAATTGAGTTTCCAAGATTGACCTCCTTCAAATGCCCACCCAATGCATGAATAATGGCATACTCATCCTTAAAACTCCCCTCCATCTCCTTCAATACCATTTTCTTGGCTCTAACACATTTCTTATAATTTATATTAACCCTCAACTTGTTGTAGGCAAATATCATCATATCTTTGCATTTCAAGAAAGGTGTAGCATAAATTCTTGATTTAAAGTACTCAGCAACCATCACAGTTGTCATCATCTTGTTTTCTGAATTTCTAACACAAGTATGTTCAGAGTAGTATGTTTTTACCTAAAAACTATTATATTTATTGACAATGAACCATAATGTTGTACCTATGATTTTGATAATTACAAAACACATTTAAGTGACTAATTGATTTATTTAAGTGTGTAGTTAAATTGCCAATATACTGCAAAGTAAGCAAAATGAGATTGCATTAAAAAGAGCTCAAAGGGTAAGAATATGCAGAGAGCCGGCTTAAGAAAATTGCAACCGGCTCTGGGAAGCAAAAATGCAGAGAGCCTACTGCAGATTTTGTTGAGCCGACTCTACAGGCTAGAAATTCAACTGCTATTTTGGCGCGCGCGAAAAATGGAAGCAGAGCCGGCTCCCACTTTGTACCCGGCTGTGAAGGTGCATTTAATGCACAATGGTCGAGTTATTTGAAGATTATTTAATGTGTTTAAAGTTGGAATCCCAAAGCCAGCTCTAGGCTTTGCAGCCGGCTATGGAAGAAAACAGAATGTGCAAGAATCCCACAAAGCCGGCTGCAGAGATGGTGAGCGAGCTGTACAGAGCCGGCTCTCCTGACAATCTTGCAACTCGAGCTTTGCGTCCTGTAGGGTGTTTAATGACCCCCAATGGCTAGAAACGGCTATTTTCGAGCAAGGGGCTATAAATATGGTTGGTAACAGACCTGAAGAAGTTTGGAAAACATTGCATTGAATATCTTTACCTACCTACTCGAGCTTTAACTTGAGTTTTTTATCTTTGAGTGATCATTGCTTGTAATCCTCATCTTGTTCTATTAGTGTATGTTCTTGGGGGTGTGATTATTCCTTCAAGAGTGATCTATTGAGAGTATTTATGGGGTTCACATTGTAAAGGGGTGAGGTTTGAGAGAAATACTCATCTTCTTGTAAAAGGATTGAGTGGCTCCTTTAAGCCACCATTGTCTTTCTTAGTGAAGAGTGTGGAGGAAATCCTTGGTGAGTGAAACCAAGGTAGAGGACTAGGCTCCAAATGGTTGGACCGAACCTTTATAAATTCATTATGCAAGCTCTTCTTCTCTACTCTCTTTAACTTTGGTTTTGTGGTTGAAAAAAGGAAAAATTTTTGGAACTCCAATTCACCCCCCCTCTTGGAGTACATTGAGTCAACACATAAATCTCCCAACAGCCCAAACCAAATTTGCAAATGAACTTTTGTCTCTTAGGCTCATTCCTTGTATGAAGTAAAGGACAACCTTTCCTCACAGAATACTTTCTCAATACTTCCTTGAACTGTGTTGCATCCTAAAATCTCATACCAACTTCAAAGAATGGTACATCCCAAGAAGGATTAAAGTACACATTAGAAGTTCTCCTTTGTCTCGCTGCATCCGTTGAAACAAAAAACAAATTTTCTTCTTCAGACTCAGTAAATGAATCCCTCAACTTCCCAGCATCATCACTATGTTCATATTGATTGTCTTTGCCATCATTGTCACTTTTAGACATATCATTCTCAACAGGAATACCTTTAGAAGGATGTACAGGATCTTCTTTCTTCTATTTACTTGGTGTTGAATCCTTTCCCTTTTGACATTCCCTTCAATGAGGTAGTGTTTTGTACCTCTTTTCTGCAAGCTTTGCCTTCTCTTTCCTCTATCTTCTCAACTCAACAGGATTTGATGATGCAACCTTCTTACCCCTAGAGACTAGAGCAGATCTAGTGGCTGGCTTCTTTATAGAGGTAAATCTAGTGGCTGGCTGTTTTATAGGAGTAGATCTAGGGGTTGGCTTCTTTGCAACATGCTTGTACTTGACCCCTTGTGGTGTTTGAAGCCCACTGGGAACTTCTAATCCTTCTGTTGGTCTCCTAATAGACCTTGCACGTTTCTTCACATCAATTAACACTTCATCATCTCTATCACTATTGCAAAAAGGGTATACTTCATCATCTGTTGAGCTCCAATCATCAACATAACCATCAATTGACCCAAACTCCAATTCTCCACAATTACCTATATTACCCTCACTACATTCACCTTTCTCAACTGTATTCCCAGTATTACTATTACTACCAATAGGATACTCTTGGGTTATGTTACCCAAGTCACCTTCATCTGCTCCCCCACTAACCTCATTATCAATACCCTCACCTACCTTTTCTTCATGTCTACCTTCCTCCTCAACTACATTGTTATCAACCCAACATAATTGTGAAAAAGAAAGTTAGGCAAAATTGACCTCATGATCAACATATATATCAACACAACCATCAGCACGCACTATGCACAAAATGTCCCTAATACCGTCATCACCAGCCAAACACTTCAATGTGATAACACTTCAATTGTTGTGTAATACACATTCTTAATCATAACATCTTCATAACCAAAACTAACAATTGTATCCATGATCACACCAACATTTAACCTGTCATAGTCAAAAGGTAATGATGTACATTGAGTAGCTTTATACTCAATTGGTGGTCCTGGAACAGATATCCCACCATGGAAACAACACAACACTCCCTAGAATTCATCTGCCATATTGTTTAATAAAAAATGGCAAAAAAAGCATTATCTTTTTTAGTGGCCCACAAATTAACATCAACATTATGATACTACTAATCCCAAACCCACAATCAAGCCTACAAAATGTAAGCACTTTATAAAACCCCTAACCCACCACAACTTTCTATATAGAAAAAAGACACCGAAAGGCTAAAAGCAATACTTACTATCCCTTTGTCCTAATCAATGAAGACCTTTATCCTACTAACTCAATTTCTTGTTTCGATTTCAGTCTTGAGATTCAACAAGCAATATCATATCCTTTCCAACTATTGTTCAAGAGATTCTCCAAGTACTGCTGCAGAGAGACTTGAGATGGAAGAATCATGGGATTGGTTTTGGTTTACAGGGTTTATAGGTTTACAAGCTTACAGGGCTTTTCATCTCCATTTTTAATCTTTAATCAAATAGATAAAATATGTTAGGTTTTTGTCGAAAATGAATTTTTATGAAATTTTGCAGGTGAGGCCTAGTTGATGTGTAATGGAAAACGGGGAAAAATCACCACGTAGGATTAAAATGGGTGAGAATGGGCCAATTCAGCATCCACACAAGCAAAAAAATCTCCACAATGTTTAAAATGTTTTGAGTAAGCACACCGTTAATGGGAAGATGACATCAGCTGATGTGGGTCGTCAAATAATGGATTATTTGTCCAACTCAAAAACTTTATGAGTAGATTTGTCTCCGTTTTTTATTCCGGGTAGATCCGTCCCTGCCACTATACTTTGAAAGTGGATTTGAGTATTTTGCCTTGAATGAAACCCAAGAATTATTAAAAGTGTTCAAGGGGTGATGAGTAAGGTACTACCAGAAGGGAGGCTACCAATGTTGAATATTCAATATGCCTTTGATTTATTCTACCAGCAAATCTAGCTAATCTGTCTACCTATAGTTTGAATTGTACACAAAAATGACATGCTTCTTTTCCTTGTTCTTTCCTTGTTCTATAGTAACCAATTGACTTTATTATTTAAGGGGAACTGAATTTCTTGGTTCAAGGTTGTGATTTGTGATGACGCCTGTGATGTTGCCGTTGAGCTGAAGCAGAACCATTTTTACGCCACTCGTATTGTGTCCTCGGTCAAAGATGAATGGGCCTACTTCATTCACACAGGTATGAAAATCTTCAAGAGGCATCAAAATTCAAATGAAAATGATATACTAGTGGCTTCCTCCTTAGTTTAACTTAAGTAGATTTATTTATTTTTTAGTTTAATAAAACAAAAATATGATAAATGATTAATAAAGTTTTATATTTATTTTAATTAATTATTATTTAAATAAAATTTTTATTTAATATATGTTATAATTATTTTTAAAAATAAAAATAAAATAAAAATAAGTATATTAAATGATATTTCAAAAAATAAAAGTAGACAACTAGATTTGAGTACTTTAAATTAGAAATGGTAATATTATATAGTTCACTACTAAAATTCTTACTTTTAGCAACAAGTTATTAGCAACATGAGTGTCCTTGTCGGTAATATAGATTTTCATCGACAAAGACTATGTTGCTAAAAGCTATTCCCACCTAAAAGTAAGTTTCACTTTCAACAATAAGGAACATGTTCCTGTAATTTCCCCATCACTGTATAGTATACATTTCCACCTAAAAATGAGCCTCACTTTCAATAACATGAGGTATGTTGCTAAAAATGAATTTCAACAACAAGGGACATGTTGCTGTAATTTTCCATCCACTTGAAACATTAGCAATATATACCATGTTGCTGATGTTGTACATCACCAACAAAATCTCCATTGGTGTTATTCCTTTATTTTTAACAACAAAAAATCAACAACAAGGAATATGTTGGTGATATAACCACTTTGACCAGCCAACATCGATGCCCATTATATATACACTTTTCACATCTTCTACTTTTGTGCTATTTGTTCCTTATTCTCTCAATTTAATTTGTTTCTTTCATCCCTCGCATAATTGTGTTTATGTTTGTATTTAAAATTAATTAATTTTATAAATTTGAAGTTTTGGACGAAGGGCATAGTCTACTCTTCATGTCAAGAGTCAACTCTTAATGAGAGATTCAACTGTCACTTTCAATAATCAACTCTTAAGCAAAAATATTTTATATTTTTATGTGAAATATTTTTGTAAACTCAAAAATATATCCACATTATTTTGTTAGACATATTAGAGATTTAAATCATTTAAATAAAGAGTAATAATGTACTTATATATTAATTAAGGTGTTAAGTGTTAAGTAATATTTAATAAAGTATGAAAAATCAATTAAGAAATTAAATTTTAGAGATAGAAATGAATTTTTTTAAGTGTATGAATCAAATACTTGGTGAGAATGATAATTTGAAGTTTTAGTAATATGGCACACGTGAGTGATGACTTTATGTCTTTTCAAATTCAAACAAGTTTTAGCAACATGGAATATGTTGTTAATTAGGGGGGAAACCTTTTAGCAACATGGTATATTATACTAAAGGCATTAGTTATACCCCCACCCCCAACCTAGCTAAGAGCAATTCTTTCCTTCCTCCTCCCATTCTCTCCTGCGCGAATGCTCTCTACCTCTTCCATTTCTCAGCCTCCTCCATTCCTCAACCCCCTTTTTTTTTTTTCATTTTTTACAAAAAAATCCTCCATATCTCACTTAATTTTTATCAATTAATTATCTATCAAGTATCAATTGATTATTCTTTTTTATCATAAAATTCTCATACGTATATCAATAATTAAATTAATTTTCATTAACTTCTTTATTCTCTTGAGGCATTTGTTGAGATTTTATTATGTTAAATATTTTTATAAATATTAAGTGATTAGTATGTTTCAAGTTAGTTTAAAGTTAATAAAATTATAAATAAGTATATATATAAGATTTATTAATTTTGGTAGTTTGTTTGTTTTGTAGGTAAATCTCATTAAAGTAAAAAAAATTCAAGTTTAAAAATTCAACTTTGGTAAGTTCCCTGAATTGACATTAATTACCTTGAGATGCTTATTTTAAATGTATTTAGCTAAAACTTTAGATATAGATGGTAAAAATAAATATCAATGATTTAGTTATAATTTTTTTCTGTATAATTTATTCTATTATGAGTGAGATAGCATAGAATTTATTATTTAGTGATTATAATTATAAAAAGTGAATTTTTTAATTAAGTAATACATTATTGTTAAATTTTATAATAATAGAATGAAATTAATTTAATTATATATTTTTAAAATGTTAATGTAACTGAGGATTATGTATTCATAATATTGTAAATTTATATTTTTTTTCAAAGTAAAAACTTATCGACAACATACCATTTGTAGGTCAAATATTTTCAAAACGACAATTTTTAGCATCACCAACGTGGATCAACTTACTAATTGGCATGAGGTGTGCACGCTTGTACTTACAAGATTATCAACAACAAGAAATATGTTACTAAAAGTGACAAGATAATTAGCAATAAAGAACTTACTGCTGAAAGTAAGATGCTCTACTATTCACAAAAGTATTAGCAACAAAAGATATGTTGTTGAAAATGGGTTGGGCTTTACCATTATGGGATCATTAGCAACAAGAAACTTGTTGCTAAAAGTAGGATACTATGCTAAAAATGGTGTCACAATTCCAATCACTGGTTCTAGCGATTATTTTTAGCAACATAAGCCACATCGATGAAACTAAACTTTCACTAATGTAGCTTATGTTGCTAAAAAGGCTGCAAAATTCTTATGGCCGGTTTCGGTCACTTTTTTAGTAACATGAGTCAAGTCAATAAAACTCCACTTTCAACATTCAACAACAAGGAGTATGTTGCTGAAAAGGGGGCCATGAATCAGCAACTTGAAGCTTGTTGCTAATGTATTACTGACTAAAGCTTCTCCAACAAAGACATCAGCAACATGGTTTTTGTTGCTGAAGTACTTTCAGCAACATGGCACCACTTTTACTGACATGGTATCATGTTGCTGAATAGAGGAGTTTTAGTAGTGGTTATAATATCATGTAAAATTATAAACATAAAATTATAACATATTATTAAATGAATATGATGTAATATTAAGTAATTGCATGCAATATCAGAGGTGGATCTCTAAATGAAAACTCATATTATATAACGACATGTTATGTTATAAGTTTATAATATCACAAAATATTATAATTATAGTATTTTCAAATTAAAAATTAGATTCATTAAAATTGAACAGATAGAGTATAATGTTAAGTTGTATTATAAACTTATAATTATGATGTGTTATAAGATAATTAATTGTTTATTTATGAATTTAATTATGGGATTGCGGATCACTTTTTTGTTTAATTATAATACTATATGTATTTAGTCATTTAGTAATATATTGTGATTATAAATTTATAATTTTACATAGTTTTATAATTGTATTACATACTTTTCCTATTCAAATTTAGTAGTTTTAAATATGTAACTTTTTGAATTTTTAAATATAAATTTTAAATAAAAATTTAACAATTTATATAAATAATAATTGATAAAAATATGTAGTTGTTGTTAAGTATTCTTATTTGATAAAAAATCATTATTATTTATAAAATATATTAAATTTTCATGTAAATTTATATATGAAAAATCAAAAAGATAAAATAGGACTACCAAATTTGACTAGAAAGAGTATTATCTAACAATATATATATCAATTTATTTAATGATATGAGAAACAACCTTTTCATATTCTTCAATTTCTTTCACTAACCTATTATGTGATTCAAATACAAAATATCTTGTTTTCAATAAAAATAAATTATCATTAAATTAATTAAATTATTTAAATTGTTCATCATTAATAATAATAAAAATTTAGAGCACCTCCAATGCCATCATTATAAACATTGAAATAAGGGTTTTTCTTTTTTGTCCGCTTCGGCACAGCTAAAAGTATATATATTATATTTTTTTAATTAATTTTTTTTAAAATATAAATATTAACTTTAATTTAATTAATTAACTTAATTATAACTATTTATAATGATAATAATTTTAAAATAAATATTAATTTTTATAATTTTTTATATAAATTAATTATAAAAAATATATTTATTTTATATTTAAAGATATATGTTAAACAACCCTTTCAAATAAATAGGAAATGAGTAACAATAAAGACATAGAGCAGCTCCGACGCCGGTTCCGCTGGTGAGTCTCAAGTCTCAAGTCTCAAGTCTCAACCGAGACATGAGGCACAACACAATGGGCAGAGAGATGGTATAGGCTTCCCCCGTTCTTGGGGGACCTTAAGGTAGACCGACCCACCCTTTGGGGACAGTATGGTCTCTGCAATTTTTCTTTTTAAATTATTTTAGTAAATCTAATTTTTCTCAAAGAGAGTATTATTAATAAAGTGAATACAAATAAGTAATTCATAGGTAAATTCAGTGTCTTTTCTGCTCGGTTAAGGTTGAAAGGTGAAAGCATCGATCGACCACGTGTTCGTGATGTGTCCAAAAAAATCGTAAATATATGTTATAGCTGGTGGGTTCTCAATCTCACAACAACAAATTCAGTTCCATTGTTATGTGAGAGGCATCGTGAAGGTAATCAATTTCAAATTGAAACAGAGGTTTGGCCTTTTGTTTTTACTTTTCTTTGTGGTTACCTGGGCTATATGGTACATGAGAAGCTCCATTCTTCACAACTTGCTTGTTGGGATGAGGACTTACTTTTTTGCTTTTAGTCAATGGTGTCAGCTACCTTCTGGTTGTGTTAATTAAAGACTTGTAATTGTAGAGATTTTCTTTGGCATGCTTTGGTTGATGTTTGTGTTTGCAGCTCTCTAGTTGTTTATGAGTTGTTATTTCTGATGTAAAACGTTTGGATATATGGGTAGAAGTATATATATCTTTTATACTCTAAATTTATACATTTTTTAATCCATTAAATATATATATCTAAACAATCTCACAAATATTTCTAAACTTTTTTCTTAAATTCACTTTAAAAACACTTTTATCTCAAACCTAAATTAGGTCTGGACTCGTGCACAAAGAAGGCCTATTTTGTTGTCATTTAATTTGTGCAGTACTGAAGTAAATGGGGTCTTGGAGTTTGGACTCATTGATGCATGTAAAAAATTTAGGGACTAAATTCATATAAGACTCTGAAAATTTAGAATATTTTAATAATTAAGATGTTAAGAATAATAATAAAAAACAGAAGTTCTAATTTTAACCTGCATGTGCTCTAAATTTGTATCATTCTAATAATAAAGACAAATGTTAAGGGTATATTTGTATAAAAAATTGGCACAAAAAATCTAAAAATTAATATTAATTTTAGTATTGTTACTATATTGATATATTTAATTAAACCATTAATAAATTAAATGTTAATTTTTACTTTTTCAATACAAAACTATGACAAAAAGAGTATTGATTAAATTTTTAGGACATAAGTTTAAAAAATCTATAAAAATGATTTGTCTAAAGACTTCAAATTAGAGATACATTAAGTACACTATTTTACAATTAATTTACATAAAAAATACAAAATTTAATTTTTATTTTAATATTATTTTTACATGAAAAATTTTAATTGATTAATTAATTAAATAAAAATAAACATTTATATTTTTATATAAATTAATTATTAAAATATATATTTATTATTACGAGAAAGACATAATGAAGATAATTAATTTCAAGTTAAAATAGAGGTACCAATTGATTTTCGTTTCCTTTGGTGGTTGCCTGATCGATCTGATACATGAGAAACTCCACTCTTCACATCTTGCTTGTTGGGATTGGGCCTTCTTCGGTTTTTTTGGAGACAATTGGGATGAGGACTTAGTTTTTGAATTGATATTGAGAAAATCCTAGGCATCTCAAACCACATAAGATTGTATTTTTTCTTTTATTTTGTTTATATTAGAAACTTCTTCATGAGTTGATTTGGGACTACACTCAGCTTTCTAAGTGAAAGTTGAGTAAGGTTTTATTTTTGTCATTTTTTTTCCACCCTTCTATTTTCACATCTTTCCTTTGAAAAGAAAAGAAAAAAAAAAAACAGAGATATATTAAAAAAAAAAGAGACGAAAAAAAAAAAACCCTACAAATTGAAGAAACCATTTGCCCATCTTCAAAACAAAAAAAAATAAAAACAATCATAATATGATTGATTTTAATATAAAAGGAAGAAATATCATGTCATTATAAATATTGATCAAATTATGAGAAATCAATTTATCAATTGATTGATTTTAAGGATTTGATATTGATTATAATCTCATTAATAGAAAAATTTTCAATTAATTATTATTTTCTTATATTATGCATCACTCACCCTATAAATAAAGTTGCTTATATGTAAGAAAAAAATGAAGAGAAATAAATGTGCAAAGTTCATAGAGGTTTTTGTACCATAGACTAAGGGGCCTTAATGAATCATGATATCCTGTCACTATTTCAAACTAGATAATATCATGTCTTCTCTTTTATTTTGTTTATGTTATTATTATATTATCATGAGATTTCTATTATTATAAATTTTCTCACTATATTATAAACTTCTTCGCTAAGCATGGTTACGAGCTGGGCTGAAAGGTCAATGGTCCCAACTGCCTTCTGCTCTAGAAAACAACATAATCTTAAGTAAGAAGTATAAACAACATAATCTTAAGTAAGTAGTATAAAGAACATAATCTTAACTCTATCCTCTTCCTTTCTCTCCCCTCTTCTTTTATCTTTTTAAAAATGAGTTGATTTTATAACAATTTTGTAAATACTTCAATTTTTTAAAATATTTTGGTAGATAGAAGTTTTAAATTGAACAATAACAGTTGGTATAATTTTTGTAAAACTCTTGGATCAACTCTACTCTTTTCCTTTTTCTCTCCTTTTCCTTTGTCTCTTTAAAAATGATTTTGACTTTTGTGGTAATTTTGTAAATACATTAATTTGTAAAGGTATTTTTGATGGGTAAAAGTTTTAAAAGGAGCAATGGCAATTGGTGTAATTTTATAAAATTTTTGTCTATTTTATAAATACATTTTACTTAATTATTTATATCTTTTATCAATTTGTATGATTTTTTTTATTCTATTTTAGGCTATTTTAATAGTAGTTATTTTTTATTTTATATATTTTTGTAATTTTTATTTTAATTTTAAAATTAATTATATTTTAAATCAAATAAATTCAATTTGATAAAATAATTTTAGTTTTCACAAATTTTTATCATTGAGTATTAGAAAATCTCTTAAATTTATTAAAATATTTATAAGCTAGTTATTTAGTATTATACATTTTTCTATATATTTTATGTTATTATTTATTTTTAATAATAAATTTTTAATAACCCAGAAGTACGTTTGCTAATGTTAATTTGTTTTAAAAGGTAAAAAGCCTAAAGAACAGTTTGCTAATGGTGAATAAATTTTTAGTCCTCAGAATTTACTTGAGTACCTTATTCTGACTTCTTTTTTCTTTTTCTTTTTCTTTTTCTCTAATGAATTTGATCTAAATTTTCATGGGTTAGTCATGACTTATGAAAGAATGGTGAGAGAGAGCAGCAAGGCTACAAGAGAACCATAAATTTCCCGGTCTGAGTCAGTACATGTAGGGGTGGAAACAGTTTAGTTTTGATTTAACCAAAATTAATATTTGAGCTATCTTTTTTGTCACGCCCCAAAACCCAATTTCGAGACGCGACAGACGCCGTACACTCGTGAGACGGGTCCCACAAGTGCACAAGGCTCGGAACTTATCATATTACACTCTGATACCACCAAAATCTGAAGATCAAATCTTTAAAATTCTCTCTCATATCATAAAATCTCCAAATACAAGATCAGGATTTGTTTCTAAAATTCATATCAAATTACAATATGGCTAGCCTTCTAACTCGTCACTTCCCGTGGTTTCCCCGTCCTCGGTTTCACTTCCTGAA